CACATCCCGCCCCTCTTTGAAGGCACATAATGCCATAAATTTTACCGAAGCTCAGCAATGAGGTTGCCGAATTTTACCGCTCCTCTGCTATCACTGCAGTCCAGCCGGGTTGCCTACAGAGCACCGCTAGTAGCCTGTTACACAGAGTAATGTTCTTTTTTGTTTGAGGGTTGTTTTCAATCGCTACCCCTTGTAACTCAGTACCAATGGGCAAGGTGACACTTGAAAACAAGGGGTAAGGGTAAAAATAAGAAATGGGATTGGGCCTAAGAATAAGATGTACAGCTAATTAGCTGTACTCTTCACTCAGCAACTACACTACAAATCTGAGAGCTGATTAATACAGTTATGAAATAGGACATTTGGGCAAATGAGGTGTTAGTGACAGAAAGAATTTTATCATGATATTAAAGTACTCAGTATATTCATGTAGCCTAGTAAATGCGAGTTTGAAATGCCCTAAGCATCATTTATGCTGTACTCAAAGAGCTTTTTTTTCTTTTTCATGCGGAATGATATTCAATTCAATTTCACAGACATTCAGTAATGCATGAGTTATATATGCTCACTAACACCACTGACTGACTTATTCAAAACACAGCACTTTTGTGCCATTTCAAAACAATGTTAAATGAATTTAACTTGACCCTCAGAATTACTGCCACACTATCTTTTTCACCCATTTCAGAACAAGTGCTTTCTGAAGAGCATTTTCCTGCAGTGCCAATATAGAAATATACCTTGACTATGACTGTATTTTAATAGATATTGCTCCTTTTTGATATGAAATACATATAATAATATAATATTTATTGTTATTGTGATAATTTACATCACATTACAATATAGCCCACTTTCGTGAGCATATGGACACTGTGAGTACCTAAAGCAGAAATTCCAGTTGTGGTGATAGGAGCAAGACTCCTGAACAGTTTAAAGTCTCTAGAAGCTCACAGAAAGTTACTGCATTAATTGGTTATGAATATGCTGCTTGATGCCCAGGGCATTCATTTATGATAATTTTGAGGTTTTGACCTCAAATATATTTCTTCATTAATGGCAGAGAGGTGTATTAAATAGAACTATAGAAACCATTCTTACAGCATGAAATCTAACTGTATTTGATTCACAGTGTGCATCGCTCCCTGTACTGAAAAAAAAGAATATTAAAATGCATACTGTGACACTCCTACATTGTGACCCCTGGGGCCGGATTTACGAAAGCTTTCTTAAGAAAAAACTTGCGAAGGTTCTTAAGACAAACACTAAGACGTCCATGTTCAGAATGTTCTTAAATGCAATTTTCGAAAAAAAAAACTTAAGAAGTTCTCAAATATTCTCTGAAGATAATATTAATCATTTTCTTAAGATTTTCTTAAGAAAATCTTTATTGTTGTCTTATGTATGCTATGTTACATTTACCATGTACCATAAACGACATGAGATACATTCTGAACTTGTATTAACAGTTATTTCTGTTATGTAGTTTAAGCGTTTAAAACTAAATAGCAAACAAAAACTAGAGGTGATGGTGGAAGAAACAGCCAACAGCAAAAAAATCCTCATTAGAAAATAAAATAATTATGGGGATGGGCAGCAGCAGCCGACACAGTGTCCATGATAAATTTAGATGCTCACCTTATCAACTCTTACAGCCTGACCCAAGTGTGAGGCAATAGGAAGGGTAAGAAAACATTTAAGAACATAATATTTAAGAAAATCACTTGTTCTTAGAATTATTCTTAAGAAAATAGTTAAGAAAAGAAAATAAGATCATTCTTAAAATGTTATTTGAAGAATAACAATGTCTAATAACTTTTTTCTTAAGAATGAAGTTAAGAAAAAACACACATTTAAGAAGATTTTCTTTCTTAAGACAATTTCGTGAAACCGGCCCCTGGCTCCTATCACCACCACTGTAAAGAAATCTGAGTCGGTAAGTAAAAAAAACCTCTATAGCATAAATAATAATCATAATGGCCATGTGAGTCGATTAAATGCTATGAAATGCCAATAACACATTAAGTCTGGTCTTTATGGGAATACATATAAGCACAGCACCGGCATGGGTAAAAAAAAGACTACAGGCAGAGAGAAAACATTATGATTGAGGCTACAGCCAAAATGCTTTAAGTATACTAAGCTATTGATTAATATCTGTGCTGATCGGAGGCATTTAAAAATGGTGCTGAAGCACAGCTTCTTCTGCTTGTGGTGTAAACTGAGCTTTATAGAGGTCTTACAGTGGCTCAGCACAAACAGTTCACTTAGGGTACAGCCATTTTCATGTAAGACCCCAACTTGAAAGAGCATTACATAACCCTTCCCGCACTGGGAGAATGGGCTATTTTTCTATTCTTTTTCATTTCAGCTAAGCTTTTATGTCTGTGCTCACTTTGTGCATTAGTATATGTTGAACAGATAAAAAATGTACAATATAGTGAGATGTAGCCAAAGTGAGTGAACATGCCCGCATTTCCAATAGGCTCATCAGTTTCCTGTTCAATTGAATCAGTCCTCAAAGATGAGGTTAGACTGCTTAGATTGTCTCTGAGATTACAAGTTAATATTACACAGCAGCTTTATTTATTTTTCAGTAACATGACTGTGCATGTTACTGAAAAATAAAATGTGGTCTAGGAATAATTCTCAATGCACTATCATAAAATAAAAATATCTCAGTCAAAAGTATTGATCATTATGTAGTAAAGTCAAAAAACTACACAGAATGCTGTAAAGTGTTATTCTCTTGAATACAAGTCCACAAAAAGAGAAACAGGAAATATTTTATCTCGTTTTTTTAACAGGAGATGTAGGCTTATTTACAGATGGAGAAAATGCTTTAATAGCCAAACAAAACGTCAGGTCAGCAAGTTACAAATCGTCATGGTTCAGTAAAGAGCCAAACACTGTGATCAGTTTCAGTGGTGGGGTATGACTAACCTGGGATTTTCAATGACAACCCCAATGTCAACACTGTGTTTTAAAACTAGTCCAACTAGTCCAAATCCAGGTTTACGCTTATCTGTGTCTGTTAAAACCAACCGAAAGAGACTAAGGGGGGCAGAAATGAGTTCTCACATTAAAACATCAGGATTGGTCCATTTCAGTCACACATGGTCACATCAGACAAACCCATGCAGTCAAGACTACGATGTAATCTTATGAAACAGCACTCATGCATTTAACCGACTGCACATAGACAGCACCAGAAACAACACAGAGTCACAGTTATGGCTATGGCGGCTGGAATGTTCTAATGTCAAGTCTAGATATGACGGTCCTTCAGGCAATGAGCTAAATGGCACTGGCTAGCTTCAGCATAGGATTTTTCTGAGCACTCACTAATGTCTTACCATATTTCATTTGGATTGTATTTAGTCAATATAAAGTTAGAATTTTAGTTTTGGGTGTACATGTAATTTAACTTTTTTGTAACAGCTTGTAATAGCAATGGCACAGCATCTCTTAGGACGTGAGCTGACTTTCTTAAAAACAGCCTCACTTCTAGTGCTGACCACAACACTATATAGCTTTTTTTCTTGTTAAAACACACTTGATTGACCTCATAAAGGGCCTGATATTGAGGGTGTAATAACCTGCAACTAATATGGGCCAATCTGCATGTAGCCTAATAATGTAACTTCAGAAAAACAGTGAATATTCCTTTATAGCAATGGTTGGCAAATAAAGAACATGCTGATAAATTATGATGTAGGATGTGATTAAGTGAAAAAAAGTCATCATCAGTATCTGTCTTGGAGGACAAGAAGCAAGCAAATCATATTTTCAGATCTATGGAGGTTTGTTTTCCATTAGCCTCCCTCTGTAAGAAATATATGTAGTAGCTCAGCAGGGCTGAGAGCATGGAGCAGCAGACAAGCAGATGGTGAAGTGTCTTGGCAGGACACAGTGGCCTATGTATTAGGACTACAAGGATTGTGAGTAATAACTTTGTGACTTTTATGCTTGAGAAAATCCATCAGTGGCAGCAGGATGATTCAGTGATTCTGAACCACTATCTTGCTTGTTAATAAGGAGATACAACAGTTTTAATATCTGTAAATTGTTATAAAACTTAATTAACATAGTCATTATAGCTAATCGCACAAAAATAGACAAAATGGGGTGCTAAGTCCTCACATATCACACATTTTAAAACATCTTTCAAAATCGTAACAAACTATCAAGCACTGGAGCAGGTGTCTAGGGATTGTTATTCCCCGATATGTCTGTGACTGAATGTAAAAGAGAACAAGGCGGACAAAACGCAGGTGGAAAGGCTGAAACATGATCCGACCGCCATTCCCTTCCTGACAGGACAGGACAGAATGAAGCACTATCCTCTTATTGAATTCTTAGGTCAAAAAAAAACAGTTAAGAAAAAGCTAAAGACACACAAAATTCAGAAATTAACAGCTTTGTAGTTTAAAGAATTCGACTGAGAGGCGTTTATGCTTAAACGTTGCTTAAATGTACCGGGCTGATGCAGACTTTGCACTGCAGGCTAAACGAAGGCTAACGTTAACCTCGTAGCACCTAAACTGTGGTAATTACTCAAAACAGCATCAGCTGACAGTCGGACCTGCAGACTAGCAGGCATGAATCCTTGGCTAAATAGTTCGGCTCTAACAGGCTCGAACATGAACTAAACTGGCAACTAACTTATACTTTCACAGGACAGAACATGCCTACCAGTTTACCAAAATTACAGCCGAGCTATGACGACGAACAGAATCCTCTAAAATAGTTCACAGTTAGCGAGCTACCGTGCTAATGCTTTTCCATCCAAGGGCCTAAGACGAAGACGAAGGGTAAAGTTAGCAAGCTAACTAGCGTTACAGAACAGTCCAACAGAACTGCTGTAGTGGGACGTTGTTTAGTAAATACAGCAGCTAGCCAGCTAAAGGAGTAATGTCACCTGGTGTTTGAAGAGTTACAGAGCCTAAACCAGCCAGCGTGTAAAAGAGTAACAGAACTTAGCCTGTTAGCCAAATGACCTGTAGATGCAGTTTCCATGACAACAGGGAGCGGTTGCCGGTCGCTCTCGGCATGGCTGAAGAGCTGCCCGTCTTCACTCGGCTCGTCTCGCAGCTGCCGCCCATCCTCCGAGTCGTCAAACCGGGCCGCGGCGTTCCCAAACCGATCCATCTTCTCGAAACCGTCTCCGTACCACCCGCCCTCTGAACCTGGCTCCTCGCTGGGCTTCGCGGACATGCTCGTCGCGGAGGTCTCGTCAATGCGCGATGCGTCCCGGACCGGACCGGACCGAGAGGGTTTTATTTAGAGCACGACAGTGAAGGCAGTGTTAAAAAGAGTCAGCTCCACTCGAAGGACAGGCTCCTGTGTCGCAGGTCTGTTCAGACTGAGCAGACTCGCCCTCCCTGCTAGAGGCTCACGCATGTGTGAAAACGGCTTGTTTAGTTCGGTGTTTCGGCGCTGACGTAATGGTGTCCGAGGCTCATGATGGGCGCGGATTTGGGATGGAAACAGTCTGTTAACCGTTTACGGCCAGGACACCGTTAGTTACACCTCTTTTTCTAGTTAAAAAGCACTTGCAATATATATAGAGATTGATAGAAATACCTGAAAATATTAAAGAAGTTCAACAGTATTACAAAGTATTTTGTCCACTCAAGTAATGAGAATTGAGATAAAAATGCCAAAACATACTAGAAATATAATAGAAAATATTAATCGTTTAATTTGTTTGTACCACGTAGAGCTCTAATAACCTACTAAATTGTGTGCATTATTTTTCTGCGTAATTATGACACTAAAATGTTAATGTTCGGAGTTTGAGGCTGTTTCGTGAACGACTCATAAATATTTTCTATATGATGTGGGAAAAGAACAACGTAGAGCCTCAGTAGTGCTGAGGAAAACTACAGTAATGAGTTAGTTATTGTATATAGTTTGTTGTCATACAGTTTCCTTCACATTAAGGATGTTTCACGTTGAGCTATACATACTGATTATTTAGGATCAATTATTATCGCGCTCGCTGATTGAAATTAAGCTGCAAAGTGCTTTTCTGCGCATTTGTTGTTTGTGTGCTCTTTATGTGAAGGAGGTGGCGCCATCTTGCGTCTGTGGGACGCATGACAGCATCCAATATAGTTGCCAATATTATGAGTCAGCTTCTGGGACAGGGATTAATCCAAGTGCTGGACTAAACAGTGTTCTGAATGGCGAATTTTAATCGAAAGAAAAATGTAGTCCAGTACTAGACATAATCCTTGATCAAGAAACTAACCATATAAATATGTTTTTTACATGTCCCTGTAAAAATTCATTGAGGTACCACCGATTTTTCAAAACATCTGCACAATTCAATCGTTAAGGTGTGAACAAAGTCGTTCAGAGTAGTTTAATGTGAAATCGTGTAGAGAAACTCACCATCTCAGATTTCTTTACAGTGGTGATAGGAATAAGGGCTTATGATGACAACAATGCAAATGTAGCTACTTTATTTACTATCCAAAATGACCGATGAACCAATGATACATGTTGAGAATGGTACAATTGTGGTAAATCTGAAAAAACTATATTTTCTTTTGCCTCACAATGCCTTACATGTACATCCCCACCATGAATGTGCTTTAAAATAAATTTTAGTCCAAAACCCAAAATTTAGTCCAAAATTAGTCCAAAATTAGTCCAAAATTTTAAACTATCATAAATCAATGTCTAAGGCATCAGACAACATACATGTAACAATTTCACATAACTTTCTGAGTTTTTAGAGGGATTAACCTCCTCAGACATCTGGTTCCTACCACTACCACTGTGGACAATTCTGATTTGGTAAGTTTTTCTAGAGCTAAGCATTTCACATGAAACCACTGAATGATGTTGTTGACATATTAACAAAATAATTATATGGATTTTTTATTTATTGGTAAAATTCCCCTTTAAGTCTTCAGAAGAGCTGAGTTCAAGAGCTAGTTTGAAGTTTGCTTTTGTTCAACATTGATAACTTGTTGTTTCTCCATACTTGACAGGGCTGTCAAGCACAACGTTCATCCCTGTCACACAAAAGCTTTTTTGGATTTTTTTGTTGAAATACCCACATAAAAGTCATGTAATTCACCGTTTTTTTTTCAGTTTAAGGTATGAGCTTGATAACACTAAGTGTGACAGTCAGTTTAGCCTGAAAAATTCCACCCCATCACATTCCCCTCCGTCTCAAGTTTCTTCACATGAAAATAGTTCAAAATATCATGTCCGTTTGGCACCGATCTCAGCAAATGTCTTTATTATAATGTCCTTCATTAACTCAACACGTTGTATTAAAGCAGGAAAAATCCAATTTGTGCAGTACTTTCATGCTCCAGATTTGTAGTTGGAGGCCCTTGATGTAAAGAGAACTGTCAGTTTATTTTTCTCAGAAGTGATGTCACACATACACTATTATAAATTACATGTCTAAAAGCTTGCTCATGCATTTCCTCTGAGATCAGGGATATGAAAAGAAAGTGTGCCCCCCCCCTTTGCTGCAGTACTAGCCTCTACTATTCTGGGAAGGCCTCTAGGCATTGGAACATTCCTGTGAGCATTTGATTGCATTCAGCCGCAAGAGCTTTAGTGAGGTCAGATACTGATGTTGGATGATTTATTCTGGATTACAAACTCCACGTCAGCTCTCAAAATTATTGGATAGAGTTACATCACTCCAGAGAACGGATTTTCACTGCTCCCCAGCCCAGTTGTGGGGGGCTTATACTCCCCTAGTCAATGTTTGGCATTGGGCATGATGACCTTCAGCTAATGTGCACCTTAGAGTAACGGAATTCACTAATTAAAAGGAGGGTCTAGATACTTTTACATGTACAGTGTATGATGTGTGATTACAGCTCATTATTTTATACAATAAAAGCTCATTATTTTCTTTGGTTTACCAGTTTTATTAACTAGCAGCAGGTGATGTGTTGAAGTTCACAAGGTCATGGTTAAAACAAGAAATTCATAATGCCTCAGTGGGTTCTCTTATGTCTTTTTTTGCTGTGGTTAAACCAGTCCTTTAACACAACTTGAACAAGTAAATGCTTTTAGACTTGAGGCCAGCTTTTAAATAGGGGGCTGTGAGTCACCGTTTATGTGTCTTTGAAAATCAGGGGCATTCCAGTGCAAAGGACTTTCTTCTCAGCGTTTTGAAATGATTGAGAATAGTATTAAAGCAACAAATTAAAACAGTGATGAAAACAAATAAATGGAGGTTGAAGAAAGGTCAGTGTTAAGGCCATTGAAGCCTTTATGATTAGGAAGCTGTTTCTCCTTCTAATGACAGTTACAGTGTACAGTCAATCCAGTCAGTTCGTAGTGACATTTCCTTTGATAGTTCAAGAGCCGATACCTCACATGTATTTATTTATTTACACATTTATGAAATATGCATAATACGTATAAACATTTATGTATTGATGTGTTTACCATTCATTTATATTACATGCTGATTTAATTTCAACAATCTTGGCAAACTGTGAGTGTAAAATATGGGCTTAAATGCAGAAAATATCACCATCTTGCCACTAGGCTCACACAATATGGACCTCTGAATATCAGCATCAAACACAATGGGCTGTCTCCTCTTATAAAGCCTTTTCATCTCTGAAAGCCTTGCATAAATTAACACATAGAAATGTTGTTTGACAGGAACATAAGATTGCTGTATGACATGCAAACATAACAATGTTTTAATGGCCTAGCAATCCTACATGATCTCTATATAAACCATAAAATAAATATTCTTTCGCTGAGATAGTACAGGAACACCTAAAGCTCTTAGGTGCTTTCCAGGGTCAGAGTGAAATGACAAACACAGAACAATAACGAGAACTGCTGCAACAACAATAGTAGCAGCATCAGAAGAGAACAATAAGGCAGATGGGAGCTAATCAGTCGCTTGCGTTTGGAGGATTCAAAGGAAGGAAATGACCTTCAGTGACATCTGATTCATCTCTTCTGAGGAGATATAAATATAACAATAGATGTAATTTGTGTATGGGGTAGCGCTCTACACTGCCTTGGCAACACTGTCTGACTGACTTTATTCAATTGGGAAATCTGTTCTCTGGTCATCAAAATAATTCTGTAAGGTTTTTATGTATGCTTGTAGTGTAATGTTTCATATAAGTGTGTACTCCATTCACACTCGCTGTTCCTCTGGCAACCATTTCTTTCAAGTATATCCCTCTAGAACAGGGCTGCCTAAAGTGTGGCCCATGGGCCAAAGTCTGCCCATGAGGATGTTTGATTTGGCCCAACAGAAAGTTACCACCCAGTGAAGGAGCAAACATTTTTTTATAGTATGTGTTACTTATTAAATTCTTATTTTTCTTTCATAATATTGTATTGTAAAATGCATTTGCTTAAAATGTGTTATGAACAAAAAATTGTGTATGGTACAACATGAATACATCTTTGAAAACTCTGAATACATTAAAATACATTTTAAAAACTGAAATCTAGCCCCCCAAGACAAAAAGATTAAGTGTAAATTATACACTATAGATGAAAGAGTACTCAGTGTTACAGGCCTTAAAATTTTTCAACGGTCTTCCTCAATAATTGTGAGACTGTACATTTTTTTTCTCCATTTTCAGATCATCTTTAAATCCATATCTCTAAATTGATCTTTGGTTAGAGATTATATATTTGGTTAGAGATGATTTATGATTCTTCCTAAGTTCAGTCACATCACTCCACTGCTGCACTTCCTTCACCGGCTTCCTGTAGCTGTACACATCAGATTTAAAACCCCGATGCTTGCCTACAAAGCCAAAAATCGACCAGCCCCCGCCTACCTAATGGCTATGGTCAAAACTCGAACTGTACCTCGAGCCCTTCGAGCTTCAGGTACAGCTCAGCTTGATCCACCATCCTTCAAGATGCGTGGAAGACGAGCACCAAGACTTTTCTCTGTCCTGGCACCCAGGTGGTAGATCGAACTCCCACTGGCTGTCTGAACAGCACGGTCTCTCGCAGTCTTCAAACGCAGACTGAAGATACATCTCTTTTTACAGCACTTAAGTGAGCACTAAGTTAGGTTTTTATTGTAATGCATTGTACTGCACTTATTGAAATGTATTGCCTTGCACATGTTTAACTCTGTTTCTTTTCTTTAGGCATCAACATGGGCTTTTGTTTCTAGCAATATGTGAGCTCATGACTAGCTTTCTCTCTAACCTATTTGTAACTAGCAAAGATACTTTCTTTAGGTAGACAACAAAGCACTTTTTGTAAGTCGCTCTGGATAAGAATGTCTGCTGAATGCTGTAAATGTAAATGTATTTCCATTATTATTATTACTACCACCACTACTACTACTACTACTACTACTACTACTGCTAATAATAATAATATAATAATAATAATGATAAGAACAGCAACAACAGAGTCATAGCATGTGACCTCTCCATTTAGGTCTTAGTAGAGATGACACCAACCAACACT